TATATATATTTATTATATAGTGTTCTAGATTTTTACAGCTGTACAGGCAAGGGACTTTGGGACAGAGCAGTGTCTAAATTGCCATGTGTCTTTTCAAGCTATTTTATTGATAACATAATCTAAGGGTCTTTACCTCAGGAATATGTCTTTCAGTGGACCAGGAGGTAAAGGAGGTTTGTGTGATATGTCTAGATGAAATATAAATAAATTAGGGGCCCTTGCATAATGCCATCTGTGCCATACAACACACATCCCAGTATATTTCCCCCACCAGAGAGCCAAAGGTGCTCCGTACAGCCTCCCAAAGAAGGTCATTGGCTGTACGGGGGACTATGCTGAACTTGTGTAAACACGGCATGCATACATATGCACAACCCCAAATTCAGGCAGCCTGTGTTCAGGGTTGTGTACCCATATGCATGTGTGAGGCAATTCTGGTGCATACCCATGTACAGCCAGTGACTTTTAGAAGAGGCTGTATGCAGAACCCATGGCTCCCTGGCAGGGAAAATACACTGGCATTTATGTTTTATGGCCACAAGCAGTCATGTTCAAAAGCCCTGAAACATTCACATTATGTACAGAATTTACAAAAACAAATCTTAAAAACATAAAATGGCTGTTCAAATATAGTAACTACATTCAGAACTATGAAGAAATAATTTTTCAACTAAAATTGCCCAATATAATAAAACTGTCTTGCATACCTTAGTAAGGTAATACACACACTGTTGGAAGGTATACATAATGACCTCATCAAGAAGGGCCATAGATTCCTCACATGCTTCCAGGTCACTTGAAAGCAAAGCGTCCTGGGAAGATGCTGAAATTAAAAAAGCCAATTATTATTATTAGTTCTATTGTTGTTATTATTACAGTAGTAGGAGGAGTAGTTTTTAGTAGTAAACGTTTTCCCTATCATCCTCATACTTTGGGATTACACTGACCAATCTAGCAGACCTGTTAGCAGTGCTTGTGAGGATGATGATGTTGACAACAATTAAGTATTTTGTGAAAGGGGTGACACAACTGTAGCCTTTGCCTCTCAGAGGCTGTCAAGCATAGCAAGCTTCATGCCGCTTCCTTACAGAGTGACAAACATGCCATTCCCTCAAAGACAGCAATTACTAATGGGAAGTCATGTTTTTAGGCCATCAGAGCAAAAGGGCCATTTCAGTACTCTTGACCAGGAAAAACTAAATGCAGATATCATCAAGTAATGCTCTGTGCCAAATGTGCAGCAGTTTTTGCTCAGCAGATGCTACAATTAGTCCCGTGAGTATGAGACTCTGTTCTGTTGCCTACTGCATTATCCTTCCACTGCCTCTTGCAGCATAATGTCAACACCGTGCAGCAGCAGGACTACAAGCTACTCCAGTTTAATTGACAAGATAAAACTGCAAAAAGGAAAGATTTGCAAACATGGTCATATCATAACCCATCTGCCACCTTGCAACCTAGTGGATTTTAGGTTTTCAGGTTAAACCAATGGTCTGCATTGGACTTTCATTTGTTCTCTTGACTATTCTTTGCTTATCTATCCAAAAACCCAATCCAAGCAGCGGGTGGTGTCATCCTTCCAAGGTGTACTAGATTTCCCATCACAAGTCTGTTATGTTTCTTTTTCTATTTTTGTCAGCCTTGGATTTTAAAACGATTAGATGCACCACAATAAAACATAAATAAATAAATTGTAGGAAATGCATTTCATGCCCACAGTGGCTGCACAGCCTCTAAAACACGTTGAGGTGTCCCCACTCCTCCTGCTGCTTTCTCTGTAATATAAAATACATTTGAAATATAACTGGGAAAACTGGACTCTCTTACAATGACTATGGCCAGTGTGTAAAACTGGGACCCCAGTTCAGAAATTCTGTCATTGGCATCCCAATGAGATATGGGAAACCATTAGGTGACTTCATGTTCCAGCTTCTGTCAAAAGCTGAAATATACAGTAAGCTTTGTGTGGAATGACCCTTTAATGAAAATTCATAAAAGTATAACAATTATAAAAAATGTAAAGTTAAACCTTCTGAATCCCATTCTTTTTCCATATCGAGGATTTTCCTCTGCACAAAGTTGAGAAGTTCCATGGAGTTTGCCATCCATAGCATTAAGGGTCGAAGATCAGTCGCCACCTCCTCAATCCCCAGTGTGCTCAGAAAACTTCTGTCCTGCTGGCTGAAATCAACAGAAATGTTCTTATCATCATGTTTATCAAGCAACTCAACCAGAAGCAAAGTTACTTTCGGGAAGAAAACAGTCCATTTACAGTAAAGTGTCAGGAAAAGAGAAATGCTTTTCATCAGTACACAAACTGTAAAGGCCTTTAAACTCAAAACAATGAATATCAACAATCACCATCCAACTGATATTATGTCACTGACGCACGCAAGCTGTGGTGAACAAGTATTACATTAAAGTTAAACATCAATAGGTTGAGGAAAAAGAGAAAAACAGTCAAATGTTGTAATTGTTGCAAATATGTTTTGTAGATACGCCCATAGTCACAGCCTGAGTTGGGCTATAGCAACAAAGTACATGTATTGTGACAATTACATGTTTTGCAACTCTTATTTTAACATTGGGTAAAAAATCATTTTTGTGCCTGGATATAAATATTTTCAAAATGCAATTATATGGTTTGTAATGCAATCAAATAATATGGAAAGTTTTCCCGCATTTTAATTGTGTGAAACTTTCCAGTCATGGCATAGGGAATGTCCTTGACCAAGCTCTGTTGCTTTAACTGCAGTGGAGAAAAGTAAGTTTGGGGACGTTGCTATGCCTTACTAGGGTATGTGAATCTCAAGAATGGGTGAAAAATAATTACAGGTCTTTTGCCCAGTAAACAAACCCACACATATACATTTCAGCTAAGTATTTACCTGTTTGCCTATGGTTCTGCTTTAGCAGTAGACTACTCTTGCCAGTAGAAGATGGTGTATTAGCTATGGTTCTGCTTTAGCAGTAGATTACTCTTGCCAGTAGAAGATGGTGTATTAGCTATGGTTCTGCTTTAGCAGTAGATTACTCTTGCCAGTAGAAGATGGTGTATTAGCTATGGTTCTGCTTTAGCAGTAGATTACTCTTGCCAGTAGAAGATGGTGTATTAGCTGAATTTTGCATTCAGCAACAAATCTATAAGTTGTTTATGAATATCACTATTCAAAGGGGCAAGTTTTAGGATAAACAGTCTTTACAGCATGTACAATATTTCTCACTGAATAAAGAGGTATCCAAATAGTAACATCTGCAGGGGATCTGAGAAATATGTAGCTTTGCTGTGAAGCACCAGTTGCTATACAAAAACATGTTTTAGGAGGCAAAGAAATGACTTCCTCTTTTTAAACAATAGGAAACATTTTTTAAATGTTACCACATATTGACAGGATTGTTTTAATTATTTTGGTCTCGTCTATGTGTTAATAAAAATTGGAAAGACCATACATTTCCTAACAAATTATCATTGGTTCCCCATCAGGATCATTGTCCAGAATACACACACACACACACACCTGAGGATGGTTGAGGGCAACAAGGGATTGGACCCTTTCCCTCTTTAAAATGCAGGTTTGCATTTTGGGTGCATTTACTATTACTGTGTCCAATAGGTATAAATATTGGACACACACACAAAACAATGTAAAACCAACTGTAAAGTGGGTCTCACTAGTGAGATCTTCCTTCCAACCTAAGGAGGCAAGATGGGCTATTTCTGAGAGGATAGTAAACTCCCTGTTATCCAGCATCCACGGGGATTGGTAGATTCCAGATAAATGTAGTTTCTGGTTGCTTGAGAGTTACTATTAAAAATAAGTCTAACTAGTGCTATACTCCATACTATACCATACCATAAACTCTGTATTGACTTTATATTAATATTGAAATGCAGTTATATAAAGCAAATTGAGACAACTAACAAACTTAAAACAAATTAAGACAAATGGGCACACAATTGTTTCCAGGATAATATGCAGACCAGCAGAATAGTGAGTACACAGGGGATTTTTTTGTGGTTAGGTAAGAGTTCAGGTTAGATGAATACCAGGTAACAGAGACTTTAGTATATTTTCTTTGAATTCAATCTGTCGTGTTAAAGTTTAGGATTAAGACACTGAGCAATGTATGAGATCATTATTTCTGACATAAGTGGTACTTTTTGCTGATGTATAGGGCATGTGTAGATGTGCAAATAAAATATTTTTTCAGCTTGCATTTGAGATCTGTTTGAGATTCTTTGGATATCCTTCTGAGTTTCTTCAGGGTGCTTCTAGTCTCCTCCTGACCTGCTTTTGACCTGCTTCTAAGCTGCTTTAACTTTGTTTGCCTGGCCACTGACTTGTATACAGTTCCCATATGCAAAAGTTTAAAAGCTTTAAAAGGTCTACAAAAGAAAAAAAATAAGTAACTGCATCTATCCTACAGTCACCTGCTTAAAGAAGAATTATTGAGGGAGGCTTGTACAAAAATGCAAGAAAAGAAAAAGCTGTATCATTAGTTGTAGAAGATTCTTTTACATGAGTCACACAGCATGAAAGATCTTACACATTTCTCTTAAGGGCACTTAAAGAAGAATTCCAGGCTCACGCTCCCGTCTGAACATCTGAACATTTCTAGGGCAGCCACAAAGGATCTTGGGGCGGGCGCATGAGCAGTTCAGATGTTCAACCAGGAGACGAGGAGAGCAGTGTGCACCCGCACAGACTCCGTGGGACATCAGAGAAGAAGAGGACAGAGGAGTCAGCGCTGGATCGGAAGAAGATGATCGGATAAGGAGGCATCATTTAAGCTAAGTCCTTACATTAGCACTGTGGGGGGGACGATGACTTCATGTCACTTCAAGTTCCACTTTATTCATAGGACATAGGCAGGTGTTACCTGTGAGGGGCCTCATCTAAGGCTTTGAGGGGGGACAAAATGTAGATCCCCAACTGAAGCAAATATTTTTTTAAAAGTGTCATGAAATATTTTGAGGACAGCGGATTGTACTATGAATGATTAAGTGCAATAAGGCTGTTAGAAACAAAAATAAATAGAACTGAGGATCAAAAATGGTGTGAACTTTTACACACTAGGGAAACTAATAAACAGGATGGGCCCAACGTCTCAAATTCTTGGTTTCCATGTGTTTAAAGTACCATGAATTAAACATCTGAAACACAATGCATATTCATTGTGAAAGCAAGGACGCAGTGAAATAATCATTCTATATACAAATGAAGAACAAACACTAATTTCTGCTTAAGATCCAGCTGGGAATTCCATATGAACTGTGTGAAGACACAGATGTTAGCGTGTGTTACTGTATCAAATTGTATGAAGAAATACATAGCATGCCACATAATGGGACAATGCAACACTACAAATGTTTAATGATTTCAGCTATCAAGTCACGTCACACTGGGTTACAAGAGCCAATACATGCATAATGCTTTTCTATTGCAAAGCTTTGTTGCATGCTGTGAAGTCAAAGAGGTTTACTTTCACGTTGCATGAATGTGCGCCAAAGCACACTTTGATGTGCATTCACGAAACACATCAAAAACATGCAAAGCGCTTGCGGTGCCTTTACTTGTTAATGGCATCCCAAACGCAGCCACTAAAAACTTGGATAAAATGTGCCGCGCACGCATTTGAAAATACTACACAAACTACTATGTCGCTTTGGTCGTGCGCGCAGCATCCCATTGATTGAATGGGCTGGCACATGGCAACCACGGCAAAAACGCATGCGAACAGGCACAAATTCCCAAAGGGTGAATGGGGACCTAAGGAATTGCATCCACATACATAATACAATGTCTGTTATTTCTGTCTGTGTCTACTGTGTTTAATGTATTTCACTAAGCGGTAGTGATATAACTAAAGCAGAACTATAGGCAGGCATAAGAAAACACTTTTGATCCAGATATGTGTTAATTAAAAACTGTCAAGCAAAACAAATGACAAACGCACTCAACAATTTGTCACCAGCTATACAGTAAGGTGCACACGAAATGGGCTTTAAACAGTAAACAGTAGAAAGGTATCATGGCACACTCACAAGTCAGCATGTAAAAAAACTTGTCTCACCACTAAGGTTAATAACAGAGGTTTGGATACACGTCTTCTGCAGAAAATTGTTTAGAGTTAGGACCGCACTATAAGAGGTGCCTTGGCACGGCTGTGCGGCTTTCACATTTTCTGCAGAACAAGTGATATGTCTTACATAGAATCATAAAAGAAAAAAGAAAAATAAAATTAATAGTACAATTGTGCTGTGGAAAAACAGAAAATGATTGGGACAATAAAAAATTTCAACCACTGTGTAAAGACCTCGAATATATAACAATATATAAACGATCCGTGCAAAAAATATATATAAAAAAATTGGAATAAAATGTTCAACGAAAAATAAACGTAAAAAACGTGTACAAAGGAAGTTGTTAATGATATATATTGATGGTGGTATATATTTCGTAGCGGTGGTCCGACAGCCCCTCTTGGGTGGGTACTCACCAAATGGAGTTGGATCGAAGGCTTTTAGTTAGTGACACTTGAGCTTACAATCGTGCTTTCAAACTTGGACCCAGTTGTTTTTACTCTCAGTCCCTGCAAGGTGAGTGTTTGGTTTTTCTCCCCTGTAGCGCTGGCTGTATCCCAGAAGTGAAGCTGGATCGTCTCAGGCCTGTGTAAGTTACTACCTGTATTTTTTTGCCTGTGTAAGTTACTACTTGTAATAAAGCTAAATGTTTTTGCACGCTACACTATGAGGCCTCTCTCCTTTTTTTATCTTTGAAATATTGCGGGACCACGGCAAGGAGTTTCGTTGACACTGCGCCTGAGACGATCCAATATACTGTAGAGCCTTGGTTCTCAACTGTTGGGTCGTGACCCAAAAGTGGGTCATGACCCTGTTTTCAGTGGGTCGCTGCATGCCTTACACTTTTCTAGGTGAGAGGCTCCTCTCAGTTCTCGCACCAAGCAGCCATTCAAAATAGCTTGAGGTAGGATGGGATGGAGCTATGGCCGTGAGGGAACTCCATCCATATGAGCATTGCTTACAGCTCCCTCACATGTCCTATAGAGGTGCCATGGAGACATCAGATTCAGACTCCTGGTACCTCTACAGGGCGCGCAAGGGAGCTGTACAAGCAAAGCACATGTATCAGAATGTCTGTAAATGTGTCAAATTGTGTCAGTGTTTTTAGACTGCTTTTATACTACTCACACTAGTAAAGTGCCTTAAATCGCATAGTAATGTGTGATTAATGCACTTTATCATGCAATCGCACCTACTGTGCATTCTGGTGAGGGAGGTGTGTTACGTTGAATGGTACTTCAAACGCACCTCCCAACCGCAGTTCGT